TGGAATTTGTAGGCTTAAATTTAGTCCCAGACTTAAGTATATTGTTGAATTAGGGGTGAGAAAATATCATTCTGTATATTGATAATAGCGTACTTGCTGTAAAACCTGTTCCTGTCCCTAGGTTAGGTCCTTTTAGGGAATACTTTGCAGTTCCAGATAATTCTGGTTAAATAAACACTATTATTAGTGGCAACCATGTTGAGTGAGAAAGTAATTCTGTCAAAATAAAAGGACACAGATTATTAGATGTACTTACTGCTGAAGAGGCTATTTTCTGCCAAGGTGACTGCACTTATTTTCCCAAAAGTGGGATAAAGTACCTGAATATCTAACCAGATAAAATGGACAAGACTGTCTTCATGCAACTGAGTTTCCTTTCCTGTGATAGAAAGCATAAGCTGCGATTTGCCTTTTCTAATGTGTTCCCTTCAATATATAGTAAGGAATATTAAAGAAGATTCAATGTTCAGGGAACATAGCTTATCCCGTAGGAGATAAATTTAATGATCACATTGCATTATGTTCTGGAAATTCTGTGCACAGTTCTCAGTTATTTGTTTTACATATTGTATCTTGTTTTATAAATCACTGCATTGGTCCCTGAAAGTTAATGATAGGTGAAGTAAATAGTAATCACACATGTACCTTGTATTATTTATCTAAGTGTCATGGGGAACTTTGAAAAATCAATTTATTAATGAATAGAGTATGCGGTAAAGTATTGTATTGGAAAAATATATATAAGGAAATGTCTTAAGTCACAGAGGGCACAAACAGAAGATACATCTGTCGTGTGATTGGCCACTTGAAAGTCCTCTATAGCTGCACCTTTACAGAAGTGCAGGGCTGCAGAGCACTTTAAAAGTGCCTGATCACGTGACAGTCTGAACCCTCATTACATGAGGGTTCAGATGAAGGCACTCCGAAGCTGAACACCTTCATTAACTTCTGTCAGTGTGCGGGGAGCAGGGCTAGGCTGATGTAGCCCAGTCCCGCCTCCAGTACTATCTTCAAAGTAGGAGGGGACAAGGGAGGGAAGGGAGCTCTGTCTGGGGTTTGCCCAGCCTGCGCTAGAGGGTGGGGTGGGTGAATTGGAGCCCCCTTGAGATGGGGGCAGGCTCCAGTCCACCTGCCCCACCCTCCAGGCAGGCTGGGCAAAGCCTAGAGCCTAGACCAAGCTCCTTCTCCTCCCTTTCCCCCTCCCATTCTGAAGACAGCACTGGAGCTGGGAGTGGGGAAGGATGGGGCTAGGGGATAGGGCAAGCAGCCACTCCAAAATGCAGCTTGATCCCATGACCTTTTGGACCCAACAGTGAATGTCTGTTGTGTTGGGGCAGGGGGAAGCGCTGTGACCCATGGCACTTCCTGCGAAGCACCATGAGTTAATGGGAGTTGGACATCTGTCAGTGCTCTGAACTGCAGCTACCTCTGGAGTGAATCACAACAGCTGTTTAACAGCTCACTCAAGCAGTATAGAGAATGGAGATCACATCCAAAGGGATGTACATATGAGTTTTAAGTAGGCAACATGTAATTTGGTCAGGACATAAGGGTTAACACCTTTATTCCCACAAAAATTGTCATAGTATCTCTAAGGATTGCAAGTGATCAGGACCCTGGTTTCATCATGTTTTATTTTAAAGAGTTACCTCCAAGCAGCACAGTGTTAGCATGCTGAGATGTTGGTTCATCTTGACTTGGAGGGAAGAATGTCAACTAATGAATAACTAATAGCATATCCTGCAGTACCTTGATGTTCTCCGGAGAGCTCCAGTCCTGCTTTGCATGTGAGATCTGATGAGATAAGAGCACAGGATAGTATAGCTGCAGGCACCTCTCTAATAATTCTGCTATTTCTATAATGTCAACTGGCTTCCCATGCAATAATTCCTGAAGATGAGCCCAGCTCAAGCATTAGCCTTGCCATGTGATTGCATATTCGTTTCTTGCCTCCCAAAAGCTTGTTTTTTCGGGTAGTGTAAGCCTGGTGTGATGGGTTTTTTTCTCTTGCAGTGGGTTGTCTTTTTTTCAGCTGACTTTTTTGGCCTTTTCCCGCCCCTTCCTCCCTTGAAGAGTCTAGTTATCCTAGTGCAGGATCTAAGGGGGAATATTTTTTCCTCTATTTTTTTTTCTAACCAGAATCTCAAGTAGCAAGGGCTGGATATTTCTTTTTTAAAAGTGTGAGTTTTAAAGGTTTTTAACTTTGGAATGAAGAACACATGAGAGACTGTTTTTCTTTTAGTTCAATCAGTTGCTATTTATGTATAGCCACCTGCTTTCATCAGGATTTTTGTTAAGCAGAGAAGTCCCTAAATTGGAACCAGTTTATCAGTTGCCCCTAAACTTTGGCAGAAGTTTGATTTCAGATCACACTCCTCACTTGCTCTCATCTTTAAATCTAAAAGCCGGTGGGCAAAGCTGTTAGTTTGGGGAATATATTCATGATACTTAAATCCTAAAATAAGAAGTAGCTGGGTGTTTTATATGCTACTTCCATGCTGGAAATGAATCCTTGCATCAAATATTCGTTTTGAAATCTGTTTGATTTGCAAAATCCATTTAACACCATCCAGTCACTAGCAGTTGGTGATACATTACTAATGAAATATTAGCTTTTATGTAGATTTTGTTTTTGGAGATGTGTGGGCGAGGCTTGTTTTTCTATTGAAAACTTATCGGCTTGGTGCCTATCGCTGGAAGAGCCTTGCATCCTTGCTTCCCAGATCCTGAAAATAAATAACATCCTTCACAGCAGTCAAAAGAAATAGGTACCGGGGTCGTTTCCTGGTGGGACACACAAACTTGGCTGAAGACCTGACTACACCGCTAATGTTTGTTATTGCTTGTAGGGCTGTTATAGGGTAATGTGTAGCTGAATTTGTAAGTCATGCCTTTAACATGCACTTCATTTGTTTGAAGGGTGAAAACCTCCGGAGCAGTAAAGAAACGTACCACAGCAGTTCTCTGTCAGACATGATGGTAACGCCAGTAAGCCCTGGGCAGGACGACGTATTCTGGAGTGCAGGCCAAAATGAAGAGCAGCCCCCAAAGGTACTGAAAATGGAAGGTGTTTAAGTCCCAGGCAACCGTTGTTATTCGTGTCTGATTCATTCCCTGGTCTTTCTTCAGTAAGCATTGACTAATGCTCTTAATCTCCATATACACAACCAGGAGGGTCACACATGTGCCTGGTACCTCAATGATGGGCTCATAAAACAGAGAACAACATCCAGGGGAGAATTCAGCTCCTATTGTTCTCTTTTTTTCTTTCTTTCATTTACCCAATTTTTAATCTAGAGTTTAATATCATAACTACTGATAGGAAGTGATATCACAGATTAAATCCAACACATTACTGTGTGTAAAATCTTGCCCTTAAACAAGTAAATGACAAAATTCCCTTTGGTTTCAGTAGAGTCAGGATTACATGAACCCTTTTCTGTCTTGTATCCTTACAGTTGGGTTAGAAAAGACTGATAGGGTAATAGTAACTTTTCCCCAAGAGTTCAGAATTGGTGTGTTGGCTTAAAAGATATTTGTCTGGGAAAGATAATATTCTTAAATGCACAAATGCATGAATTTGGATACGGCTCATTTTATCTGGTAGAACTGTGTGTGCATTTGTGTATAAAAGGTCATATAATAGCTGAGTCTGTTAGACCAAATATGTAGGTTTTTTTGCTCTTTTGAAGAATCTAGTTGCACATCAAAGATAGTTAATTAGTTTATATAATTCAAAGAATTATTTGGTAGACGAAAACCAGAGGAGTAAATGCAGGGTAGTTTGCGCATATATATAGATATATTAGTACCTCACAGGTGGTGTAAGCGTGTGTGTGTGTGTGTGTGTGTGCACGCACGCGTGCGCGCATGTGAGGTGCTGTTTTCAAGCAATTGGAAGTAATTCACCTCTGTGAGTAAGAACACATTTTCTTTATCCCACAAGTGCATTTCCACCCGCTATAATGCTGAGCCAACAATAATGTGGTTTTAAATAAAAAGACGTACCCCCCAGAAAATCCCACTGGAGCATTATCTTTTATGTGTTTTAAGTCTGTTTCTCATGTTAATACAGGGCATACATTGGGATTATTAACTGAGCATAAGATACCAGAGTTGCAGACTAAAACCTTTGCTTAAATCTTTTAAGGTTCCAGAAAGAACAACCTCTAAATGTTACCGGGATCACCTGGGCCATCAAAGATGTCCTTCAAGGTAAGCTCTTCTGTGTATTGGGCTTAAACTAATGTTCATTTATTATCAATAGGAAAACTGAAGTCAGCTCATTAAACACAAAGCCATAACTTCAGTAACTGTATGATCAACACAGGTTCATATTTCATTGAATGGCAATTACACTTGTTCTCTCATTTGAGCCAGTTACTCATAAAGCACCTGGCAAAATGTTCTGATCTTGAACCTTAAGCAAGATTCTGAACCCAATTTTGTACTTCTCCTTTTAGGGCACAGACAGAAGTGGCAATTTTCACCCAGTCCGGTCACAGAAAGCAGATATAGCTGTGACCAAACAAGTGCAGACAGCTTAAAAAATGGCTGATTGATTTTCAATCTCAGTTGCATGAGGGGTCAGATGAAGATGTTTCAGAATAGAGCTGCCTGTACTGGTTCTCCCCATCAGCAGCTTGAAAATGGCACTGGCTTACAAACACCCAGATATATGCTGAGACTGACAGAAGCACTTTAGAAATATGTTAGTTTGGCCCCAGATCCCACACTGCACAGAGCCTAGTGCTGGAACATTGTCCCCAGGATGTCTGCCCAAATGGCTGTGCCCTTATTTCAAAAAGGTACAGTGCTGTGATCCAAATGGAAAGTTGATTAAGCTGACATGACGAAGCAGGATGGCCTGCTTTCGAAACACTTACTCTTGACTAGCTGAAGTGGGAAAACATCATCTCAAGTAACTTTCATGAGTAGTAAGTGTTCTCTGTTTAAGAATTATATGATACTGTACAGAAGGGCAACATGAGCTGATAGTTAAACCGTAGTATTGCAAGTTAGGCAGTCCTGGTCCTGTGGTTTCTAGGTCTTGCTTTATAATCACCTTATATAAGTCAGTTTATCTCCTTACACATGCATTTCTTCCCTTCTAAATGGGACTAATAACTACTGTGAGGAGGTGTTCACATGAATTCATTAATGTTCATAAGTGCTTTCAAGCCTTGGAACAGAAGCACAAAATATACTGACATGATCTTTTTCCTTTGCTTAGCAGTGCCCACCAGCCGTCCCTGGGGGGACATGCTCTGAAACTAAACAGCAGCAGTAGCAGCTCTCCGACCAGCAAGCAATGGGAGGTGGGATCTCATCAGAGCAACAGATCAGCCTCAGGTGATGCTTAGGTCAATGCTTTATCAGTTAAGATATGTAAGACTCCTTTTGCCTGAAATCCTGGATGTGAAATCTTTTATCTCTACACTGTGGTTTTTTTTAATTGCATACCTGGTACAGAAAAGACTCTGATTGCTTTCTGGGTTTCATGGCCTGTTTTCCTAAAATAGAAATTCTTCCTTTTTTGAGTCCAAAAGTTACCTGTGAGCCTGTTTCCAGGCAGGACATTTGAACAGTCTGAGTTAGGAAGTTAACAAAAAATCAGTTGTGTTTTTATTTATCCACCGTGTTGAAAGTCAGCAGAGCTGGTTCAGAAGGTAGATTGGCCCAATTAGAAGGCAAATGCTGACTCGCTGGTGTTTTCTTCCTAACCTCATGCTACTTTATTGCATTGCTTGCTAACGAGGTGATGCAGTTTAGCAGCTGTTACGCATTAATGCTTCTGCACTCTAATACTTTGTTGGCTAAAGAAAACATGAGGATTCTCGTTCAGCATCTTATGAAACATTCTTTCAGTGCATTATAATTAATTTATTAAAAACAGAGTGGAATGGGGCAAAATGTAGGAGATGGAAGCAACCACATGAAGTGCAAGCAAACTGCAAGCTGACGGGAGGTGTTGTACCATGACTTGTGCATGATGACTCACATAGCTCACCCTGTGATTACAGCACATGTGAGGTTAATGCAGGTTTATGACAAAGTCTGATTCCTCATAAATAAGTGGCTTGAAACTCCAGCTGGCTTGGGGCCCTGAGGAGAAAGTAGGCAGCTTGGCAGCTTTATTCCTCTCTTGTTGCCTCTAAATGTATTTTAATTATACACACAAACAATTATTATATTATATATAATACATTAAATTATATCATATAATTTTATGTATAAAAATAAGTAGTCTGTGACGGCTGTGTCTGGAATCCATTTATATTAATTGAACCTGATTGTCCATCATGCGTAACTCGCTACAAAATGGTGGCATTTTAAACCCACTTGTGCTAACATGTATTATCATAAAGCAGGAAAAACCAGTCCCATTTTTGTAAAGTAAAAATGTTCAGATACTCACAGAAATGAACTCCCTACATCATTAAAAGACAAAAAAAAAAGGATTTTTAAAGGGAGATTCATTTTGGTAATTTAAAGCACATGCTAAATGAAGGAGAAATTGCTTCTTTATTAGATTTCTACAGTCAAGGCTATTTTGTTATAAATGACTAACCAAAGTAGGGGCATTTTGCTTCAAGAAGAACACACGGGTTGTTTCTTTTGCTGTTAGGTCATTTTATGTTTGAATAAAAATTTAGTGATGAACAATCATGCAGTGGCCTAATTCTGCCTTGCATGATGTGTAACTCATGTGCTATTCTGGTCAGGAGAAATGCAAGCCTCACCAGCTATGGAAAGAATAGAAAACCTCCCCTGCGGTTTAAACAGTCTCCTTGGGTGCTTAAGTGCAATTAAATTGCAGCTATTTTGGCAAGTGATGTTCAAGGAAGAGCTTGTTACTGTTCCAAACGCACAGGAACAGTGAATGTGATGTGAAAAGGGCTGTAAATACAGTTGAACTGATCTTGCAGCATAGCTGATTCAAACGGCAACTGGTAACGAACTAGGAATCAAATAGTCTTTAGAAAATGCACGTATAATTATGATCATCAAACTGCCTCAATATACAAATTAGGTTATTGAATCCTAACGTGTACAGGCTAGATTGTCCCACCCTTGTACAAAGCACTTCTGTGTTTGCATGCGATCCACTTCCATCCCTAGTTCAAATACAGAAGAGAACAGCGAAGGCTTGTGGAGGCCAACGCATCAGTCCCAGCCCCGGCATGTCCTTTCTGACCTGTGCTCGGTTCCTCCTTGCAGATCTGCTTGTCTTCCAGGATATGCAGTGGCTGTGTGGTTTCCCCAGGGCTCGTCTCACCCCTTGCAGAAGTGCATTGCTCTCCACTAGATTTCAGAATTATACAGCCAGGCAGAGAGCTCTCTCTGAGAGCTAAACCCTAACGCTACCGTCTACAACTCTTTTGCAGGGAATCAAGGACTGTCTAAGGCAGAGAACCCCCTGTCCCCCAACCACGTGCAGCGGTGCAAGAAGTCTGAAAACACCCCTCGTCTTACCCAGGTTTCAGTCGCTTTTACGGGGGCGGTTTTCACTACCAATACTGTTTCTGTTTTGTTCACAGTTTCTATGGCGCAGACATTTAGAAAGGGTTAACACAAGTGTAACCTGTGTTTAAATAAATGATTAATCAGTTGTTGAAGCCAAAGGTAACGAAGTGGCTGAGAGACATGGCTTATAACTATCTGGAACGTGTTGTACTGCTGGGCTTATAACCAACTTGAACATATGCCACTCCTGGCCATAACATGCTTTATCATTTATTAACCCTTCACAAGACATAGATAATATGCCATTAATGTAAAGTGGAACTTTCTGCGTGTGTCTTATTTGTTAAATCAGCCTTGTAATGTTTGCTGGTTGTCTCTCACTTCAGATAACTGGAGCTAATAGTGCCTTTGGCAAGAGATTAGAAGTGGAATGATTGGTATTTTATAAGTTGCAGGGAAAGGTCTCGATGGCTTGAAGTAATGCAGAGCCAGACCGCAGGTCAAATCTAAAGCAAGGCGGTGGTGTCCTGAAGTCTGTAACATCCATTAGTTATGGAGGAGGAAGGTGCAGTGATGCTTGTCGATGACTTGGGAGAACTGAGAGCCCCTGTGTGACCCGAGTGCCTAAATCCGGGCTGAGCCGTAGTCTCAGCTCCCATCTATAAAACTGAGAATGACCCACCCCTGTCTTACAGAAATGTTGTAGCTGTGAGTGCTTTAAAGATGATGAGGGTCTCAGAGATTCTGATAATGGGGCTGCCCTTAAGGTCACCTCTACCTCATCACTACCTCATCCATTTACCACATCCAGGGTTAAATAGTGCTGCTGTGCTCTCAGCTGATCTCCCTCTAGATTAGCATCAAAGCTACAATCCGAATGAGTGGTGTCAAGGATCACAGACACAATGGAAGCCAATGGCTTCAGGCAGCTTTGGCCACTGAATCCCACTAGAGATGGTCCTTCCAATTTAGGGCCGAATGCTGGCCTTTAGCCACTACCGAGGTTGCTGTTTGGAACCTCCCGGAGGAATAGACACGGCTCAACGGGCTTGTGAGAACACGCCAGCAAAACTGAAGTGGGACATTTCATGTTTTTCCTGTGCACAATGCCTTTCCCTTCAAGGGTTTTCATCACAGGCATTAGAACTCCTCCTTTAAATAGCATTAAGATGAAGCCTGATTGTCCCCCAGGAACTGAGATGTAGCTGATTTTTTTTTAAACAGATTAGATGAGCAGCAGCAGTACTGCTAATGAATCTGAGGATGCCCTGCTAAAATATAGTGAGATGTTTGAACCTTTAATATCTTAGTTAAAATTAACCACATTCCATTGCTAGGGGTTTGCAGTCATTTCAGTTTAGCTCATTATTCTTTTTGAAATATCAAGCTTCAGTTTTGTACCATTGAAAAGTCTTATCTTTATAATAAATATTCGCAGCATAAAAGGTATGGTAACTACTTATGCTGGCACCAATTGGAAGTGCAATAACATGGTTGCTCCTGTGGTTTTCGGCTGGAAAAATGCAATTGAATTTCCTTTATTCAGAGTCCAGGCTTCTTTGCCAAGGGAAAGGACGGTGCCAACTCATTCTGGAAAGCAGCAGAATATTCATCATCCAGTGATGAAGTAGGCAGCAGTGATGATGATGATGTAAATCACACAAGGTTGGGGTTTTTTGCTTTTATTATATATTTCTAAGTATTGAAGGAAAACCGAGCCCACATCTTCAGCTATAAATGTGCAGTGCTCCACTGAAATCAGTGCACTGGATTTCCACCAGCTTAGAATCTCATCAGTCATATTTTCTGAATATTTGAGTGCTGCAGAATAATTGCAGTTATCAGATCGTACATCTTGGATTTGCATTTTTTTTACCAAGTTGGTCTTACAATGACATATTCTTCTGTAGCTTCCAGCTCACACTCACATGTGCACCCTCTTTCTGTTTTTTTTTTTGACTGTGGTGCTTACCAATCATTCAAAATGCATATTTTGCTGAGAAATAATTGAGTGAAGGGAAATGGCTATTCCAAATGACTTAGAGCAAAGTGATCAATCAATGAAGCACGCTGTTTGCAACTACAAACCAAATTCTTTCCAGCATCTTCTGATTTTCTTTCAAAGAAGCTGTCTAGTTAATTCACGTTCTAGGATGGTTTCAAAATGTACTGTGGTCACACACAGCTCCCTGGGATGGGACTGCTTCTAGTCTAACCTGATGGTACACGGTTTAGTCAACCTACAGGAAGAGCTGAAGAGATTTATAATTTGCTTGGCAAGCCAATTGTTTGGCTTATTACCTGTTGTTTCCATTGTGCTGCTCTGAAAGCAGAGTTTTCAGGCCTGCATATGCTCCCTATTTGTGTGTTTTGAGTCCATTTTCAAGGCACAGTGGGAGGAAGAGGAGAAATATATAGAAAATGCCACTTGTTTGAGCCACCTGAAAGTGATTTTAATGGAATGATTTGTTTTCCCCAGTTTTTCTCCTCCAAACCACCCACAGTGATTTGAAAAAGGATTTTTTTTAATCAGTCATAGGCTGACCTCAGAAAATCTGAAGAAGAAAAAAGTATTGCCTTGCTACGACATTTACATTACTTAAGCTTTAAAGTTTTGTGGCCCCTTCTTGCGATAATCGTTCTGAAGTGCCTTGGCACGGTCATGTTATGTCAGTGGTTTCCAACCAGTTTAGGCTGAAGACACCCCTTGACATACTCACGGCACCCTTTGGAAAATGTCAGCTTTTAGTTTTCAGTCTGTTTTTGACTACAGGAAAATAATAGAACAATTCTTCTATTTCAAGGAAATCAGAAATACCAGAACAGCTCATTTTTGACAATATGGATTCCTTCTTGAAATCTCTGAGTTTATCTTGTGAATCATGTTTGCACACCTAAGGCTGTGTCCAGATGAGTGTGGACATGTGGTATGTGGCGCTGGAGACCTGTCTGTAATGCCATGCGCCACACATGCTGGTGTGCCCCACGCTGCTACCTTGGAGCACATGGGGTTTTTCACCCCGGGAGATCCCTGGGTCAAAAAACCTACAGCAAAAAAAAGCAAGGTGGCGCACATGGCAGCAGCATGCACCGTCCAAAACAGGAGCCTGGCCGAGCAGAGCCATGCTCCAGCTGCAGGCCATGCTGCCAGCTGGAGGAGCACCACAGCTGCATCTCCCCAGGGCCCCCAGGACCCCAGGTAAAGCTGCTGGATCCAGCATAGTTGCTGGCCGCAGCCTCCCCTACCCCACCCAGGGCAACCTACCATGTGCCAGAGCGCACATGGCACGGGTGTTCCCCAGGGACACATAGCAGCAGCATACCTTGTACTGCTACTACTTGTCCCTGGGGAACACCCATGCCATGCATGCTGCTTGTCCCCTGGGAAGGATGCTCTGCTGCTACTGGCCCACAGCCGAATAGTGCTAACACTGTGTGCTTTTCTCCATAGCACCCTAGAAAGGATCTCAAGGCACCCCTGGGTGTTGCAGCACCCTGTTTAAGAATCGCTGCTTTAAATCTACATAAATTAGTACGTGGCTTTGATGACTGAGTGCTACAGGGCCTTTTGTGAAAGGAGCAGAACAGCGTGACCCTCACATGCGCTCTGTCTTTGTATACCTGGAGCCATAGCAAAAGGTTCTGTAAAATCAAAAGTGTCATATTGCCTATTAACTGAGTCCCTTCACCTCGGCTGAGCAACATTTCAATTGAAAGTAGATCCTGCGGGAAACATACCCTGATTAACTCTAATTGGATAGAGGAAAGTAGGGGTGGAGGAGGGTCAAAGTAAAATCTGTAGCCAGTCCTGAAACTGTTCATGGCCTGGAAAGCTTCCATTGCCACTGCTCTTAGGTTAAAACCTTTCCTGTGTTATAAAGCATCTCCAGAGCCCTGTTAAGAGAGTGAGAGTCTTTTCATGCACTTGTGTGGGCTTTGGAAGAAACACTTAAGGCCAGAGTCTAGCTGGCCATTTCACAGAGGGAATATTTCCTTGTCCCTAATTAGACTGCAAAGCTGCTTGGCTATATGCTCATATTTTGGCTGAGTATAAAGGAGACAGAGCCACAGCTCACATAATATGTTCTGTCTGAAAGGAGGCATGAATGAGACATGTCCATTGATGCTGAGGCATAGGGACGTCCTCTGATGTGTGGGCTCTGAAGAACAACTTCTGTGTATGTGCCCACAAGAGCCAGAACAAGGGCAGCTGTCTTTTGCTGCGCCTTCAGCAGTCACATGTGCTGCTATTTTTCTGTTGTGCTTATGTGGGAGATTAGCCGGAATTTGTCCACTCTCTTTTTAGTAAAGGACTTCAATGCATGGGACCTAGCTGAACTAAACTCTCTATATGTCTGTACAGTGTACATACATGTTTACCACACTGCATAATGTTCCCACTGCACTGAGAATACATCCTCCTAGGACACATGTAGTGTTCAAATAACTCCAAATCCCTCTAAATCAAAGGATTTCCTATGGCTAATTTTGAAAGATCCATTTCATATGTCAGCCTGAATGCAGGCAACTTGCATACAAATCTTAAACAGGGAGTCCCTATGCATTTCTTTGGTCCTAGTTAATAAAAGTGGATCTTAATATTTTGGAAGGTCAAATCCTGCTCGCCTTCTTCATAATAGCAATCTCAGTAATCCTCAGTAAACTCTCCCCTGTCCTGTTGTGCTTCATTCCATTTTTATTATATATGCAAATGTTTGATTTAATCTTGCCTGCAAAAGGAAATCACTGCACATCTTTCAGTTCCGTTTTTCTTCAGTATAATGGCCCCTTTCACTGACCTGCGGCCTTGGTTATTGCCTTGGAGTACGAAAAGTGTCTCCCACCAATTGCGATGCAACACAACTAGTGTAGTGGAAAACTTCACAGCAGGATCCAGAATTCAAGCAATTTACAGACACCAGGGGGAAAAAAACAAATAAAATAACCCTAACGGATTGTAATAATGCAAGTGCAGTAGCACAAACACAGTATACAAATCTGGGTACAGTTCTTTGCTGGGTAATCGACCATTGCCATAGCTTTTAGGTCAATAAACTGTGCTTGAAGAAAAATGCCCTGTGGAAATAGTGATCGTTCATGGCCAACTTTTGCTATAAGAATAGGTGTTTTCCCCATTTGTTCCCAGTCTTGGCTATTCATTTGGCTATAGTTGTACCCAGTGGGACAAAGCACGATACCTTCTGAGAGATTTTTCTTCAGGGTAGGAAGGATGGTTCTGGACAATGTTACATAGTTAAGGACCAAATATCAGTTGCTTAAGTGAAATGATGTTTGACAAAATGATGCTGGAAACTCGGGGGGAAACTCTAAAGTAACCTCTCAAGATAGGAAGGGGTTCTACTTGCAAGTGAACATCAGCATAAAGTCTCTGTAGATATGTGCACAAGCTAATCATGGAAGAAGAAATATCAAAGTATAGCTGGTAACTGTTAATTATGATCAGTTACTTTGAGAATGTTTGTGTTTTGGGTGGTTTTTTCCTCTTGGATTGGTTCCGCTCATTAATTGGAATTTGTTACCAGGCAACCGCTAAGTAATAGAGTGGCAGATTTTTCAAGGACAAGAGCTCCGGATGGAATTGAACTGAAACCTCAAAGCATCGTCATGGAGCAGAAGGTAATTTGGCCATGCTGAGGCAGTGGGTATGATGTGTAGGGGAGTCAGATCCCTCATAACTGCTAACGCACATGAGGACTGCCCTTTCCATTTCTTCTCAACAGCAGTCAGACATTTCCTGACTCGATCTGCATTTGCAAAGTATAGGTACAAACACTAAAATAAAGAAATCCTGTATCAGGTTTTTTTTTCCCCTTATAATAATCCACTCATAGACTAGTTACTTTCCAGGTATAGGAGCTTTTCATATGAACACATTTATTAAAGGCACAGCACCTTTCATTTAGCAGAGCCTAAACGAAGCACTGCTATCAATAATAATACATCATTTGGATTATTGCCACTAGCTGACAGCCTTGACCTACTTTATAACCTTTACAGCATAGAGAAAAATATCTTCTCACTTCTTAAAATATTGCCTGAAGGAAAATCACATCAGGCCTGTTCATTTAAAGACAAAGGAGGCCCACAAAGCATCATGGTGCTCTCTCAGTTGCCCTCTTTGGGTTCAGCTCCACTGCTTTACCAAGGAAACACTGGGCACTTTTACACGTGCTCCGGGGGGGAGGGCACTTTAATTAGAGCCTCTGTAATTAAAGTACCCACAGCCTCTCATGTATCAAAATGGTGGCAGGGGTGCTTTAACTAACGCTTGTCGCTGATACAGGAGACGTGGAGGCTGCCAGAGTGTGCTAATTGGCACACTCCAGCAAACTCCATTAATCAATGAATCAAGTCTGTCCTGATGCGCTGTAATTGCAGCACATCAGAGCAGCCTTCCCCCATGTCTACAGGCACCCGCTGCTTCCAGAGCACAGGCTAGTCTTGTGGGTATAAGGCGGAGACAATCAAGTAAAGTCAAACCACTGCAGCCAGCTATATTCTCTGTGACTGCCTTGGAAACACAAACGCTAGTAAGGACAATGGTTTGCATTTGTGGAGCCACCTTTCTTTTATACATCCCTTTAAAGCACTTTTCAAACTTGAGTGAATTTGTTCTCATTCAGCAGAGGGTGAAGGTGAAGCCGAGTGAGATTGAACATCTTGACTGCAGTGTCAGAGACATCGGTGACAGAGCTAGGAAGAGGGCACCAGTTCTCTAACCCCAAGCTAGACTGCTGAGCTTTAGTGTTTTGGTCCTTTGACCTTGGGGGAAAGAATTAGATAGCATTCCTCCCACCTCGCACCCCATGAAGAAACCCTTTAGGGGAAGAGCACCCAGGGACCTGCTTCCAAGAGAAAATCATAAATAAATTATGAATTTTGAAAACACCGTTGAGAATAGAAAATTATTCATGGCATCCCTTTAACGTCCAATTAATTACTTGACTTTTAAATGGAAAATGGTTTCTATTTAAAATGACTTCCTTTTGTTTTCAGATATATTGGCTGGCATTCAATAAGGTTTCAGCAGGCTGTTCGTCACAGGCAGCGAACTGCCCTGAGAACTGCCTGGGATTCAGCTAGCCAGAAACTGGGCTCTTGGTTTTTTTTGCCTTGATAAAACAAAGAAAGAAATATTTGATGTGAAATTTAGCATCTCATCCTTTCCTGTATCTCAGGAAATGACCTTGGTCCTCAGCTCCAACCTTCTCCTTGACACTTCACAGTTGGGGGGTGCATCCTCCACACTGTCCTTGCCATCTGGAGTGCAGCTTGCCCTTCCCATGACCGTTTACAGATCCCAGCTCAAGCTGCGTCTCTTCCTCTAGCTGAGAACTGGTGGCCCTGGTTTCCCTGTCCTTGGGTTTTTTTTGTGATGGCCATTGCCCCCTCACCTTCTGCCCTGCTATATATTTAGGTCCTGCTTATGCAGTGACTTGTAACTTGCCTAATTTACATGGAGTTGCCTATTAGCAATGGGCTGCAGTCCTATTGGGGAATGTCGCAACACGGAAGTGCCTTTTGTTGGCAAAGCTGACCAATCTTGAATGAATATGACTCTTTTATAATGAAACCTTGCAATTAATGTAAGTGAAAGGTTTAATGAAGAACCCTGGTGTAATGTAATGCTGGGATCAAGACACTTTTGAGTTAAGATCCTGGATCTGACATCGGTGATCTTAGGCCGAGTTACACTTCTACATTGTTACACAATAGAGTGCAAGTGTGCCAGACAATAAGTTGTAACTTCCAAATCTGTTCTCCTTTGCAGGATAAATTTGGAGGGAAACAAAGTTCCAGCACCCACGAAGGGCTTTGGAGCATAAACAACCAGAACTATCTCCTGCCAGATCTTCTGCAGCAAAGCCAGATTTCTGACTCCTCAGCAAACCAGCAAAAGGTTACACAGAATAGTCAGGGAGCCCAGAACAAATCTGTGAATAATAAGGTACATCTTCCAGCTTCAAGACTCACTGCAATAGCCCTCGCTTCTCCTTAGGCAAAGGGACCCAGAGTTCGATTCATTTCCCTGGAGCCACTCTTTCTGGAGAGTCTGGTTACCTCTGACCCCTCTCTTCTCTGAGGCAATGTCTATGCTGCTTCCTCATTGAGCCCGGGACTAATGCCAAGAAAGGTCCCCACCCACTCAGCCCGGCATTGTGCTTGGCCGGCCTCAGCAATTGGGAGCATAGACGACTTGGAGAGGTCCTGAGCACAAGGCCGGGGCCGGGGACTGAGTACTGTGCTGGGGGAACATGCCCAGGTGTTTGCAAAGTTCTCACCACCGCGTGCACATGCAGAGCAGGAGAGACTGGGCAAGGCTTGTTTCTTGGCAGCAGTCCCAGGCTCTACAGGGAGGCCATAAAGCCATGGCTGAAGGAACTTGAGAATCTGTTCCTCCATCCATTCCTCCCATCTCTCTGTCCCCCTCGTTCTTCATCTCCTTCCTGTCACTCCTCTTCTGCACAAGCAAAAAATGGTTTGGCAATTACTGTTCTTTTCCCCACTTCCCACGGTGAAATGCGCTCAGACCTGCGCTAGTGGCTGCCTTACTGACTCATCCTCCCTGTGCTCTGTAACACTAAACACTATGCAAATAGGGCACGGACCGAAAAAACGTGCATCAGCAACATCAATGGAAAATTGCTAGCAGAACCAGCCCAAGGGTGGCTTGAAAGGGGGAGAGAGAGAGAGAGCATGTTAGTGGGTGCAAGGAATACTCCGTCCTGGGAGAGATCCTCTGAAAAGGGCATTGGCCACCACAGCAGTATCCTCCTTGGAAAGTTTGAGTAATGCCTTGCTCCAAATCAGGGAGCAGTGAGGGATTGACTGGTGAGGTGCCTCTTCCCCTTAGTCTTCCCCTTGGGGCCAATTATTTCATTGCAGCAATGTGCCTGGTGAGGAGCCTTGTCCCAACTTTCTCCTTAGGCTTCCTATGCAGGAATTGAATTTGTAGTATAGAACTTGGCTGCGGAATTGGTGTCTGCATCTAATGATATAGTATCCATATACTGGCATCGATGCATAATGTCTGCTTCCCTAATATCAAGCTGGCCTTGTTTTTCGTTGCAGGCACCGAGCACTGAAAGCACCCCCTCAAAAAGCAGTACATCATCTACGGCATCATTTACTTCATTCATAGACCCTCGTCTTCTACAAATCTCCCCTCCCACCAGTCCTGTGGGATCAATGTGTAGTTCTCGTGAGTGTGTTTCCTTTTTTTGTTAATTGTCATGGCTAGTTGGTTGCAAAGAAAAGAAGGAGGCTTCTTTTTTGGCAGTTAAGACCTTAATTTTCTAGTTACTTAAAGAAACCATGTTGACGGTGCTGGATTTCAGTGAACTGTTCTGCCCACATTCCTGATGGAGTATGTCCCACTCCGTTGTTGCATTATTAAAACACTTATTTATGCATACTTCAGAAACTGTGTAGACATATGGTTCTTGCTAATGCTATCTTAAGTTTTGTGGAAAGTGTTGAAATACGATGATCCTTGGAGTAGCTTTTAACTTGCTACAAGCAATTCATATGTGAGGTGTTTATAAAATCATAAAAAATGAGGACTGGAAAGGACCTCAGGAGGTCACATCTAGTCCAACCCCCTGCTCAAAGCAGGACCAGCCCCAGCCCCAGCTACATCATCCCAGCCAAGGCTTTGTCTAGCCAGGTCTTGAAAACCTCCAAGGATGCAGATTCCCCCACCTCTCTGGGTAGCCTGTTTCAATGCTTCACCACCCTCCTAGTGAGAAAGTTTTTCCTAATATCTAACCTAAACTTCCCTTGCTGCATTTTGAGACCACTGCTCCTTGTTCTGTCATCTGCCACCACTGCAAACAGTGTTCTGGGTGGCTTACATTTTTCATGACTCCCTATGTCTTTTCTCCCAGCATCTAGTGCAAAACCAGAACCTGTTAGGAGAGAAAATGCAAGGAAAGGTTCTGTTGTCAACGTCAACCCAACCAATATCCGTCCACAGAGTGACAGTCCAGAAATTCGCAAATACAAGAAGAAATTTAACTCGGAGATTCTTTGTGCTGCTTTGTGGGGTAAGCTTAGATGTAGACAGATATATGTACAGATAAAAAACAGATAGGGAGCATATTTTTGACAGTACCTGCTAAGTTAAGATTCTACATTGGTTTATTGCATTGTTTGTTCCAAAGTGATTCATTGACTACATGCCTACACACCATTCAGCTGAAGCCACCCTGGAGGTGGAAGGTGAAAGCCAGATGAATTACTGTTGAGTTCCCTGCAGCAGGGTGGGAGGACACATTGGCTAGGGTGCAGAACTAATATCTTACTCATAGAAAGAGCCAAGGGATCATAATTCCCTCCCATAGGATCAAGATTTTCAAGGTCTTGTCAGAGAAATTCCCACAGGGAGTTGCATGATACTTAGTTTATCTTCCTTAGTAGAATGAAGTGCAGAGGTTTGCCAAGTGATTCCTCAAGTGGCAGTAATGCCAAATGTAAAACCTTTGCAGTTCGTGCCCTGCCCTCACATCTACTACCTGCTCCATGGAGTCTTTCTGTGGGCATGTTATCAGCTAGAGACTCACGCAGATCAATATTCTTGTCTTTCTTTGATCCTGTGAAAACATCAGTCCTGCTTTCACTGACTCCCCAAGAGGGATCCCTTGTAGGATCGCCCTTTTACAAAGGGAACCTCTGGCCATATCTTCAGTTGATGCCAGTCTAATTCCAGTGGAGTTGTGCAGTTTAACCAGTAAGGACCTTGTCCTCATTTCTCAGTGCCCAGATGCTCAGATTATTTTAATCATCCATCTAACAAGAAAAGCATGAGGTCCAAGGAGTTGACACAGTATTTTCCCTCCAGTCGAGCTTGAGCTTGAAATTAAAAATAAAATTTATGAATAAAATGGGAGAAACATTATCCAAAGGAAATGCAAATTTCCAGTTTACAGCTTCACGGATTCTGCTTCATGTGTGTTTAAAGAAAGCCAAGATTTTAAATTAAGAACAGAACTGTGTAGCAAGGTCTGTAATTATGTGTGCGCTCAGGCTGAAGGGCTGAAGTGTGCCAGGTCCTCGGCAGAGTGCTGCCAATACAAATGTTTGCATCTTGCAGTGTGATACCTTATGCTGTTTCATTATTTCCAGTAGAACCTACCGATTAGGAAATGTACTAATCGTGCCAGCCAAACAGATTTCTTGTTCCGGATAAATCAGTTTATGTCAGCAGTTCGCTGGAGCCTTAACTTCTGTGGGAGCAATTAGTTTTTGGATGAATTAATTCCTTTAATTTGGTATTCAGAACTATCTTTAAAAACACAGAATACTTTACTCTTGAAAAACCCACTTCCTAGCATCTGTTACCCTTTTTCTATTGTGTTCTGTACATCTCATGGAATTTGAGGGTGAAGTTTTGGGGCTGGTTTGTACATCCAAAGGGACAATGAAATCATCCTCCATAATACCAAGAGGGTTAGTAGAAGTTGTATGATGGTCACAATCGGTGTTGGAAGTGCTCATCCACAAAACATTTTCCTTGCATTTTAAGTATAGGTTGACTTCATCAGAAGTACTTATGCTTAAATTACAGGGGTATTATGCTAGGGAGAGGCCTGAGTGCATCCTTAGAGGATCAGATTTTTTAAGTCACTTAGATCAGGAGGTTGACTGAATAGTGATGGAGAAAATATGAGTTGAGTTAAGAAACAGAAGACTGAAGGGAATCGATCACAGAAAAGCAATTCAAGTTGAAATGGGCTGTGATTCAGCGGATGATTTATGGTTGTTTTTCATCTATTAACAGGAGTAAACTTACTAGTGGGCACGGAGAATGGGTTGTGGCTGCTGGACAGAAGTGGTCAGGGACGAGTTTACTCACTGATTTCAAGGAGACGATTCCAGCAAATGGATGTTCTGGAAGGACTCAATGTGCTAATTACCATCTCAGGTTTGTTCGCTGTCTAAAAGTGGCTGTTCCACTGTGGGGTGGGAAGAAATTACAAAGAATTAGGTTGTAAAGTAGGTTATACGCTTGATTCCTGTAGGACACCATAAGGGAGCTGTTCACAGGAAAGTACATTTGTATTGTCGTCACTTGCTAAGACATCCTCATTTCCGATTCAGAGGAGATTCAGGACATTTTACTACCTGTTTAATATGTCAAATGGTCTGTGGGGATATACAAAGCGGCTGAATCCAGACAAGCAGGGGCGCGCGATTTGTGGTGCCACAAACTGCATGCAGTGATTGGTAAAATATGCGCTGTGCTACAAATTTCTAGTGCAGTGGCAAAATTTGCTCCTGGGATTCCCTGGTACCAAAACAAAGTCACTGGAAAAAAAAAGCAGCACAAACCATGCAAAATAAGTGTGTGTTAAACAGAGGCCTGACCCTCCAGAGCGATGCTCTGGCTGCCAGCCAGGCCTCTGTGCTGTCTGAGTTGTTCTCCTGCTGTTCCAGCACACTACCAGGCCACCAATTTATACTGCTGAGGCCAGCACAGATGCTGGCCCCAACCTCCAGCTCTCCCTGGCTGAATAGCTGGGAAAAGCTGGGCAAGGGCAGTTTGCCCACAGTGGGACAATTTGTCCCTCAACAAAGCGCACATGCAGGGGCGTACACTCAGGCACAAAGTAGCGGCCACAACTACTATTTGTGCCGCTGCCAGCTCATGCCCTTGCTTGTCTGGATGTGGCCTGTGTCTTGGGCCCTTAAAACTTATTGGCTACAATCATCCCATTGTGTCTAAGTAAGCCTGAGTTTATTTGTTATATAATATTACTGTACAGCCAACAAGCTACAAAATCAAGCCATTGATTAGTATCAGTGTTGTGTTACTTAACCAAGACAATGTCTGCATCCCCTGTGTATATAAGACTGCAAGAATTGCTGAGGTCTATGACTTCCATTGACCTTAGGGGGAGTTAAGCATGGTCAGTGCTTTGCAGGATCAGAACGTTGCATGGATAGGGACAAACTAGCTTCTTTTAATATGCTGACTGGACACAGCACATGTAGCACAGGTGAAAACTATAGTTCCCTGATGGCCTATTTCCAAATTTCCATGTGATGCGACATCTGGAGCCTTTTTGCAGAGTCTAGATTGCTATATACCTTATATGCCTCTGACGTCCAAAGGTAAAGAGTGATGAAATAAATACCTCCACCAGGAAAAGGGAATAGATGTTATCAGAAGAGGCTGTAAAGCAATCAAAGCTAAAGAAACGTATCTATTCAGAATGGCTTTTTAAGGAAATGTCTGTAATTCTCCCTTTGCCCTGGGAGAGCCTTTTTAGGTGCAAAGGAAAAAAAATTCTATGGTGAAGGAAAGACTGTTGCATGAAAACTTGGGAAAGAGGCAAAAAATATAAGTGTAGATATGGAGAGGGCTGGCATGTCATTGGTGTATCAGTCTCCATGTAAGATGTCAACACAAAACAGAGGTGCAGATCTTCTTGAACTGCAAGTGGAAGTATTCGCCTACTTTTGATTGATTACCTTCTGCACTGATAGTCTCTCTTCTCGCATGGCCCAGCTTGTAACAGTAAAAGCTCCCTGCACTGGATCATATAAGCTCCAGCGAATGAATACTGCAGGTTTGCACTACACAGAATTAAAATAGTATATCTCACCTTCTCTCCTGTAAATGTCAGGTAAAAAGAATAAGTTGCGGGTTTATTACTTATCATGGTTAAGAAACAAGATTTTGCACAATGATCCAGAAGTGGAGAAGCGACAAGGCTGGGTGTCCGTGGGAGACTTGGAAGGCTGCGTACACTACAAAGTCGGTAAGCTTCATTTGGTTCTTCCTAAATCTCTCTACACAGCTCCTCTCAAACACTCCCCTCCTTCCCACCCTTTTTTTTTTTACCTGTTTTTAAAAATTACGCATGGGCTTTAATGGATCTGAGCTTTCTTCAAATGCCCCTGCTGCGTATCAGACTCTTCATTCCTTTTAATTCTACATTGTTCCTGCCTTTGTAGCCTTTACTACAACAACCTGGTGTTATTAGCTGGAAAGCCTGGCTAAACTGAATGGTAGCTGTGTGTGGTTGCTCAGGCAATGATTTCAGTGCTCTGTGATCGGCTGGCATCCAATCTGTACTGACATTTTTCACCTCCCTGATACCAATCTCCTTTATTAGCCCTGAATACCTGCTGGTAAATCAGATACAGCATCTATGGGATGTCTGCAGATAACTGATTGTGTTGGGTGTTCTCCAGTTCACCCTTGTGTTGTATATTATACAAGAACCAAATATACATTTTTAAAGTTACACTACACTTAAGTGACTATAAAATACAGTTATTGCCAGAGAAGCTGAAAAATCTTTATTCAGCCTCTGGCTCAAACATCTCTTAAAGATGAACACCAGTAGGGTGTGATGTTATTATAATGTTAGCACCCTGATGGGCACTAGAGTAGAATATAAAATAGATTTGATTATAGTTAAAGGAGCTGTATTAAAATGGAACCTCCCCAAGCAGTGTAGCAAAATGATGTCTGTGGGGTTGTGAAGGATGGGATAATGGCAGAGGCCTTATACTCTTATTTCTTTTGCTTTTACAGCACAATACTTTAAAATTGCCATAGTCAATGACTAAACTGGAGAGAAAAAGTGAAATGATATATGGGAACCTGTAGTTATTTTCATAGTAGTCTTGCTGAAACTCCATTTATCTTGGCTCTAGCTACTTGTTTTTAGGTTTTACTTAAAAAAAAATAAAGGGTTCCTAGATTTAAATGCACATTGGTTTGTAACTGCTGGGCGGATGAGTGAGAGTTATACAATCCCTTAACTCAGCTGAACAAACATTGGAGCAGAAGGCTCTCTCTGAGCCACAGAAACCGTCACTCCCTTGGAGTACCCCCTGCAAGCTCTGGACAAAAAGCCCATTAGAATAGTTGCACCTTGCAACTTTCAATTGGCCAGTTTGGTTACACCTGCTGGGGCTGTGGAGATGCCCTTGGAGTTTGCAGAGCACTCCCCCTATATAATTGCCTACTCCACTTGCCTCTAAAGCAAGCTTGGCTGCTTATAAAATTGGCTGCAAGCTGTTTGGGGAGAGCAGCCGCTATTATTTTCCTGTTGGCAAATCCTTGCATGTTCTGACCTTTGCCCTTATGGCTGTTTTTTTCCGTAGAGAGGAATAAAATGATGTTTTTACTTCTCTCTTCCTAGACTGGAGGGTCTCATCACTACCCCAGGCTTGTCCAGCCCCATCCACTTACCAAACTGCCTCTAGGCACCAGTGTAAAATGTAGAGGGGCTGAATGGCCTGGGCTCAGCCCTCCCTCTTCTCTCAGGGCTGAGCTGTCACTCACTTGTGTAACACCTGCATCCTTTTAAGGAGCCTGGCTCTAATTTTCAATGCAAATACTTCCTGTGCAATGCGAAGACGGAGAATATGTAAGGATGTAAAGCCCCGTTCTGTTTCCAAGGCAAATGCTGAGAATTAACATGAAGCACACAGGAAGGGCTCAGTTTTCTGTGCAGAGTTCTGCATTTGCTGGCAAGGATCCCAGTGAGGTTAATCAACTTGGAGAATTGTTCTCTTTGTAAGTGGCCCGTGATCTCAAAACACTGGGAATCCACTACTGCTCCAGTGCATGGAGAGGTAACCTCCACATGGACGCTGAGATGAGCATAAAGCCTAAAAAGTAGCCTCTGTCACTGTTCTTGTAACTGTACATGGGAGGTGAGGGATAGCATACCCAGCAAAGCTAATGTGCGTTTTAATATTTTTTTTTGGAACAAATCCTTCCTAAAAGCAATTATTGCAGAAAGGATTTACCCAGTCATTTCTCTCTGATCCCTTCTGCAGCCAAATGCTAGTGCTGATTCCTGTCTCAGTAGATAGAAATAGAAGTGGAGTCAGTTTATTTAGGTGGCCAAGACCCTCATGATTGGATTTTCATTATGTTTGTACAGCAAAGTGGGCCTAGGACCTCCAATGCCAATAGAAGACCAGCCAAGTAAGAAACGTGACCAAGGATGTGCAGAACTGGTGGTGGGATAAGTTTTGCCATCCTCAGCTGGTGCCATAGGGATGTGATAGAGGGTATAACCTCTCTGAGCCTTTAGTATGGATGTAATATGTTTGCTTCATTCATAGGGGTGTGTAACAGGACCAGACCCACGGGGTGGCTATGACCTTGGTGACTGCATGGCTCCTCAGAGCACCCTCCTTCTTCCTCCCACCTACCATGCCTTGATGGTATTATTTTATTGTAGAAAGGAGGCTGTTCCAGGGTCCCAGAGTAAGCCCTAGCCTGCTTTGGTCTTCTTGTACCCAGCTGGCCCCCAATCCTATCCTTTAAGCCCTAAGTGAGAGCCCTCTTGATCCCGTCTATGCCCTTAAGGACTATCTGTGACCTCCTTCCTCCCCTACAGCCCCACCGTGCTTTGCAGATTGGTACTTCAAGCTGTCCACTGGCCCCTTGGCCCTTGCAAGGCCCTCTCTTTTCTCTGGGTCTGGCCCTTATCCATGCTATGGCTTTGGCTCCAGCCTTCTGTTCTCTGGGCTCCTGGCCCCCGCATGGTGGCTGTAGCCCTATCCCAGCCCTCGGCCTTCTGGGTTCCTGACCCCAGGCCAGGCTGTTTTTGGTACCCCAGTCTTCTGACCCCAGGCCAGACTTCTGTCACTGGCCTGGCATCTCCTAGCCTCAGCCTGCACCAACCCACAGCCCTCTGGGTCCTTGACCCCAGGCTAAGTGCCCACCAGGCACCCCTCCATGATCTCCATACCTCCCCTGTAGCCACAGCCCTGTCCTCTGGTTCTTAATAAGAACATGAATGCAACATAAACATAAGCAAGCTGCCTTGCAAGCTAAAAGTCTTTCCCACCCCTGCTCAGTGTCCCCACAAGCCATACCTCCCGTGGAGCCCTCTCATCCTAGCTCTCTTGGGTGGCTTGAGCACCTGCCGGGCTGTCTCCTACAGCCCTCCTCTCTCAGAAGCTCCTCTCCCTGCTACCTGCCTGGGCTCATGTGCCGGTCTTACGTGCCTCCAAAGTCCCAACCCTTCCTGCCTTCCGCTGGGGTTTTCCTTTTGACCTGATGACCAGCCTGCCTTTCCTTGCTGTGGCTTAGCTCAGCTGCTCATAGCTTCCATTTCTGGATTGCCTAGATGTCTGCCTCTTAGCTGCTTGCCATGGAGCAGCGAGTTACAGGACAGTCTCCCCAGGTGCTAGCTTCTACCCTGGGCTGCCTGCTTTCTGGCAGCTAGTTCTAGCAGCTAGCCTGCTTCCTAGCCACCCAGCTGCCAGCCCCCACACAGCAAGCTTGATTTGCTGCTCTCTTCTTTAAAGTAACAAGAGCTTTTGGCTCCCTGTTACAGGGTGGTGTGAGGACTAATCCATTTGTAAAGTTATTTGATACCAACAGAGCCAAGGGGTATACAAGGGCCAGTCCTCTGCCCACTGAAGGCTTCCATAATGGGAAAGCTCCAGTAAATGAACATGAGCTCAGACTGTAGGTATAACTTATTGCAATAGCCTAACCCTGGGTTTATGCTCTTCCAGTCTGGGAATAGAAAATGACCATGTGACCTATATATCCAGTCTGAAGAGCTTTCTTACTGTTATCAAATGCCATTAACACACTACTTAAAAGCAGGATACAGACCTGTCTGTGCCTCTGTATACCCACCTGTGAAAAGTTTGAATGCTGGAAAGCAGTTCAGGCTGAAGATGAGTCACGGCTTCATTAAAATAATAATAGTTTTGCATTGCCTCCTTCCTATGGAGGCAGCCACTATACTGCTTTATCTGCTAAGTGACTGCCTGAGCCCCATCCTATATGTGCTCCTGAGTCTGAGTAATGTTACTTGTGTGTAAATGTGTTTATGGGATCAGGACCCTGTATCAAATGTTTTTTAAGGCACTGATTTGTCTTTATTGTATGCAAAGTACTTAGCAGCCATTTGGGTGCTACGTAGTAAAAATAGTAAGCAGCAGCTGTAGTATCAAAAGGTTTTGAACTGTAAGCTCGCAGTCAAAGAAATATTCATTGTAAGTAATGTTACTTACGTTGAATATCAAAAGCCACATTCTTATGCTTTAATTAACTGAACATGACCTTCCACAAATCATCTCTGTGAAATTTTAGTGTGTGTATAAAATCATCAAATCTGAGCCGCAGGTATTTTCAATGAGTCTGTCTCTCTGAAAGCAAAATAATTCTTCCTTTTATATTATAGTGAAATATGAGAGAATCAAATTTCTTGTTGTTGCTTTGAAAAACTCCGTCGAAGTCTATGCTTGGGCTCCAAAGCCGTATCACAAATTTATGGCTTTCAAGGTGAGTAGACTGTCATCTCGGTTTGAACATGCCATTAGCACTTCCTGTCCATTTCAGCTTGTGTTGCTTTGTGTAACATTTATTTTTAATTAAGGAGTGAGCGGATACACTTTTTAAAATTTAGATCATTTAGACAACTGCAAATGTCAGTTGTCTCATAAATACTTCAGATATGGTTTTACAAGAAGTGACCAGTTTTTGTAATATCTTATTTGAAAATATGTTTGGATACCAAAGTAAAATTATCCGCCGCTCATCCTCCAGTTAGGGAAATGAGTGAAAAGGGTGGAAATTTCAAAAGTTCTTACAATGGGCCTCATTTTGTTTGAAAAACAAGGGAGTTTAGGGGCCCTTAATGATGATGGGCCACAATTCCCTATGAAAGTCAGTGGGAGTTGGACACGTAATTCCTTGAGCCTCGTTTTTAGGAATTTGAGCCTGCATCCAAATTTAGTACACATGAAAAGAGGTCATAATCATAAAATCATAATTATAAAAAGAACCTAAAACCAATCACTCGGGTGTTAATCTTGTCAACGCTTTAGGAATACATACTTGATTTTTCTCTTTCAGTCCTTCACTTCACTTCATTACAAACCACTGTCAGTTGACCTGACAGTTGAAAATGGACAAAGGTTAAAAGTGATCTATGGCTCATTAGTTGGATTTCACGCCATTGATGTGGACTCAGGATTTGTGTACGACCTGTACTTGCCGACACACGTAAGATACTTGTCATCTGAAATAATCAAGTCATTTCCATCTTTCTCGCATGGATGTAAATTAATAGTGACCAGCTGAATATTTTGGACCTTATTTTGGATCTTCTGAAAAAACAGGGTCTGGGCTAGGAACACAGTGTTATTGTTCCAGCACTTTAAGGTCTCCAAGGTTGTTTTATGATCTATTTCCTATGCCTGATCCCTGTTTTTCCTGAGGCTTTCTGTAGGTTTATGACTGAGCTAAAGAACATCTAAGCCAAGCATTGGGAATGGAGTACCTAGAGCTGCTAAGTTAATTAGGTATTTTTTTAGCCTCTTCATAAGTTTTTTTAGTATTGATGCCAAGCTATAATTAAACTATAATTACATTAACTTGAAAATTGGCTCTGATCAGGAAGGACATCATAGCAGTTTGTAGAAGCAAGCCAGTTTGATCTTTGGATGACTACCACCTGTGTATTGTGTTGCTGTACCAAGTTACAGCATCCATAATGTTAGCAGGAGGAGCTCTGTGTAGTCGGTTTCCAAGTGTGGGTAAAGTTTACTTCAGACTTAAACCTCAATTCTTAATTCTCTTAGCAGATATACGTATAGCTTCCCCCATGAGTAGAGCCAATGTCTCATTTTTAAGTGATTCCAGATCAGAGCTTCACTTTTAAAATGGGGTTTGCCCCTCTGATGCTGCACCTGAGATGGAAGTCCCAGTTAAATAAACTTACTGGTTTCCTTAGTGCCCAGAGCAACCTCTAAAAACTTAGATAATCCAACAGGGAAATAATTCCTTCAAAAGAGCAAGAGGCCTGATGCTATCTAGTCAGTGCTATTATTCTGTTTGTAACCTTCTTCTAGCCTGCTGCTGCCTACTTGTATGGAAATGGTCTCAGCCAGGAACAGTGCATTCAGAAACGCATAGAAATGTGGGCAGGTAGCAGCCAAATGTTCCAGTCCTGCTATGGTACCTCTACGCTACCCACGCAGCCTCACTGAGATTAGGGGGATGTTGTAGGTACTTGGTTTGGATTACATTGCAGGATCAAAGCCCAGCTACAATATGAACGAAGCAAATCCTGTGAGCTTTGGAAAAATCCGGATCTAGATATGAACTCTGCAGCATGTGCCCTGAACTAGTGTTATTTGTAAGCATCCTGCAGCCTCATTTTCTGGCTAAATGAACTCCTAACATTATGGTATCCTACTCTGGGCAGTACTACTTTAAGAGCATCCCAACTCCACACAGTCTCCCCCATCTCACCCAGCAAACAGGCCACCCATCCAACTTTGTCAAAAATAATGTTTCCAGTCACCAGGTACTTTTCTTGATACTTAATCAGTATATGGAATTCCTTGCTATATTGTGGGGGGACTTCATTCATATATTAGAAGTAGTTTATTTAATCTAACAGCTAATAGGTGTATTAGTTATGGCACCATTCAAAGTTCACACCAGTTCATTAATCTGCCCAGGATTGTCTGCACACAGGGATCTTTATCTTGGCTAAGCCTGGCAAATAATTCAGTGTCAAAGAGATCATTAACATAATTACCACCCAAGAGAAAAGGCAAGGGAAAGGGCGAGTCATTTTAATGGATTTAGTTTTGCCACAGACTCCTGATATAATTGTGTACATCTCAAAAGATTTCCCAGGTGAACACCCTGAATATGGGGCACCCTTCCGAGAACTGCAACTCCATTGGTGCGTTCTCCTCCACCGTAACACAGCATTTACTAAAAATACATTTTCCCGTAAGAATCTTGGATCTGAACTAAATGTGCTGCTACAGTGGTCTGTATCTGTTTGGGTAATTTGTTATTTTAGGGAACATCTGATAGACTAGATAATTATCTCCAAAAGGCTTCAACAGGCTGAATTGAGATACACTCGCTACCTGCTCTTTTCTCCCCTTTTCCACCTCTCTCTCTCTCTCTCTCTCCCCCCATCTCTTCTCTGCTGCAATTGCTCATGCAAATACCAAGGCAACGCATTAAAATTGCTTTCCGGCTCTGGATACCTGTTTTAGTGTTACGGATAGTGGCTGCAGAGACACGGACTCAAGTGGTTGGCCTGAGTGTATTCAGCTTGGCAAGTACAGCTTCTATACTTCTTGACTGTTCCTTGTACCCTGACTGCATGTATAAATGTTGGGAAAGACCGATCTGTGTGTTTGCTGACTTGTGAAAGTGACAGTCAAGTTCTACTTATCTTGTCCTGTGAAAGTGCTGATTCCAGGGGTACTGTAACGTTTAAGTCAATAAGGAGAAAGTTCTGGTTTCTGATAGTGCTTTAGAAAAGGAATTAGAAATACTTATTGTCTGGGGCCTTTTTTTGCTGTTGTCTTGTCTTCAAAATACTTTCCATATAATCCCAACTTGATAGCTGTATGCTTATTATAAAGCCCTTTTCACTTGGGAACTGAGTTGGTTTTTGTGAGTGTTTCTGGAGCACTCCCAGCTGCCTGCATACCTTACATGAGGTGCATCTTCCTTGGTGCACGTGCACCAAATAGGATTTAAGCAGGCACTTAGTGCTTTTAATGATTCTTGTATGTAAAGAAAGGAGAGAGTGTGCAGAAATGCTTGCATTCAGAAAGCTCAGGTGGCTCTTTCAAACTACCATAAATATTGTTACATGAAAAGGTTTTAATGAGCCATTGTTTCAGCTCATGAGTTCTGGTAAGGTAATCTCGGAGAAAATGCAAGTACTGGGTTCCTAAAACAAGGAGTTTGAATGTGTTATCCCCCCAGCTACATTCTGTCACCAGGTCACCATTTCCCTTTCCTCCCCTCCCCACCCCACCTGTCTCTCACCCATTGTCTCTCGCCCCTCTGACCCTCACTGTCACGCATTTGCACTTTCACTGACCTGCATCCTTGCACACTGGCTTCTATCCCATCCAGGAGAGCACAGAACAACTGCAGACGCTCCCTCTGCCTGAAGAAGAGTGTTCGTACCCAACAGTTTATTTACAAAGAAGAATTTTTCCAACTATTTTAGTTGGTCTAATAAGAGATATCAGATTTACCAAAAGAACCTTGTCTGCCTATATCCTTAGACCAACATGGCTACAACCAACTCCCCTTACCCTCCTGCTTTTACGTACAATCAATTTTGAATTCAAGTACTGCTTACGTGCCTTCTGCTGCTTCATATAATACCAGCCTTTC